GTGTGTGTGTGTGTGTGTGTGTGTGTGTGTGTGTGTGTGTGTGAGTAAATCCTTATTAAAGAAAGGGATGGACGAGTTGCCACTGCAATAAAAGAAGCAGAACTAATCTCCATTCTTCTTTACTCCGACTCTTGGCCCTCGCTCAGATGTGGCACAGTCACCAGCCATCCTTCATAGATTCACTACACATGTATTAAACTACACACACACACTGCACCCACAAGGACTGACTCTAAAAATACATCTACCGTTGCCATGCCAGGGCTTCTATAAATACTATTACTAATCACAGCTATAGATTGATGATTTTAGAGAGAACAAAATTTCTGTATCGCTCTCCTCTTCGGCCATTTCTCCACATTTATTTCACTCTGTCTATCTGTCTTTCTTTTGATCTTTTTCATCTTTTTCTTAATTCATTTTCTTTTTCTGTCATCTTCTGTATTCTTCTCCTACATCYCTAATCTTTCCTCTTGTCACACTACTACATAGTGTCATGTTACCAATGCAATGTTACTAATGTTGACCAGCTGGTGACCACAGCTCTGTAACATTACTAGAAATAAAAAGATATGTGATTCTGATGCAGAGTCAGTATCTTTTTAAATGTTTTTTATCTTCTTTTGTTTTTTGGTACAAAAAATAGCAGTTCTGTAAGCTTTGTGTTCTGGAGGAATCTGTTATTTTGTTACATGAACCTAAAGTACCAGGAATGCCTTCAAATATTTATAAAAATGTTTTACAGAAATGTTAAAAGACTGACATTTTAAAATCAGAACATTAGAGTAAGCATATTTCATCGCTTTTAAAGTAGAGAGGTGATGATCAACAAATTGCCTGTCTGTTGTAAATAGTTCTTTGAATGCCCTCAGTTTGGAGAAGTAAGAGTTTTGACCAGATTGATAAGCTAGCAGCTTGTCTGAATAAAGCCGAGAGCAAAGTGGATTGTTACTGTTTTGACAGAATTATTTTTTTATGAGCCGAGTTCATTCAAAGAGCCATCTACAACAGGTAAGATAGTAGCTGTTTATAACTTTTCCAATGACCCCCATTTCAGGAGATCTTCATATTTCATTATGAGCAGTATTGAACACTTTGTCTTTACTGCTTTGTTCATTTGAAATACACAAAGTAAAGAAATGCATGTCACAACACTGGCATCTTATAATAGAAGGTGTTTTCTTCCTCTTCATTTTCTGACATCAAATTTTAAATGCATCATTAGAGGATTCCTGTAAAACCAATAAAACATTAGCAGTAAAAATTACGGCTGATAAACTGAAGATGCAACCTGTAAAGTCTAATTAGTCTGCAACAATTAAAGTGTGTGTGATAGCATTTTTGTGGAAAATCACAATGTGTGCTTTTAGCCAAATGCTGTGTGTGTAACTGCATGGTAATGCTCAGTATCTCTCATACACACACACACACACACTGCCTCCCACATTGTCACAAAACTAATCCAATTTTTACTCTCTCACACACTCAGTCCTACACAGAGAGTCACGCACACACTTCAGCTATGCCTGCACACACACTCACACCCCTCCCACCCGCTCGCTCTCTCTCTCTCACATGCACACGCAGTCCAACCTGTTGCCCGGTCACCATGGCGACAGGTCTCAGACATTGGACCACGAAACACCAAAATTGACACGGTGCATCCTGCTCTCTGAGACTGATACTGAGAGCGTTTTGCAAAGAGGACACCTCTGGCACATCTCAGCCTCACACACATACACACACACACACAGAATATTGAACAACTTGGGACAGTTGTTATCTTTGCAGCAATGATTAAGAGTGCATTTTTTTATTTTTATAAACCTCCAATGTTTAATAATTTGATATATTTATTTTAAACACAAAAATACTTATTTTGTACAAAGTTTTTATAATTTTTAAATTGGTATATACAGCGGGTAAAATAAGTATTGAACACATCAACATTTTTCTCAGTAAATATGTTACTAGAGGTGCTAATGACATGAAATTTTCACCAGATGTTTGTAACAACCCAAGTGATCCATACATACAAAGAAATCAAACCATAAATGTCCAGAAATGAAGTTATTTGTAATAATATGGAATGGCAC